GGAGAAGGACCAGAGACTGCGCACACAGTACAGGTAATGACCATAGACTGCGGACACAGTACAGAGAGAAGCCTGCGGACACAGTGCAGGGGATGACCAGAGACTGCGGACACATTACAGTACAGGAGATGACAGTACAGGTAATGACCAGAGACTGCGGACATGGTACAGGAAGATGGACCAGAGACTGGGACACGGTACAGGAGATGACCAGAGATGGGCCAGGAGATTGGCCTGCGGGCACGGTACAGGAGATTGGGCAGAGACTGCGGGCACGGTACAGGAGATGGGCCAGAGACTGCGGGCACGGTACAGGAGATGGACCAGAGACTGCGGGCACGGTACAGGGGATGGACCAGAGACTGCGGACACGGTACAGGGGATGGACCAGAGACTGCGGACACGGTACAGGGGATGGACCAGAGACTGCGGACACGGTACAGGGGATGGACCAGAGACTGCGGACACAGTACAGGGGATGGACCAGAGACTGCGGACACGGTACAGGGGATGGACCAGAGACTGCGGACACGGTACAGGGGTACAGGGCATGACCAAACACTGCGGACCTTAGGGTTGGAAGGGGAGTGGGTACCTGAATTTGACAGGTACCCGCTCCCACTTCCGCGGAGTTCTCCTTCCTATACTGTGGGCACCCGACTTTGACAGCCGGGTGCCCACTGCGCATGCGCGAGAAGCGCTGTGCTTTGTGAATGGCCCGACGTCTTTTGGGACCTGTCATGTGTCCCAGAAGACACCGGATCATTCACAAAGCACAGCGCTTCTCGTGCATGCGCAGTGGCACCCGGTTGTCACAGATGCCGGGGCGGGAATAAGCCGGCGCAGGAAGACTACAGCGCTGGACCGAGGAACAGGTGAGTTCCTGCCGCAGAGGACAGCTGAGCGGCCGGCCCGGTATTCTGACATGGTGGCGGCGGAAATACCGGACCGGCCTCTTTATATTCGCTCCATAAGACACACTGACATTTTTCCCCCCTTTTTTGGGGGGAAAAAAGTGCGTCTTATGGAGCGAAAAATACAGTATTTTCTCGATCAGCTGGTGGGCTGCAGCCACTGATCAGTGCATTCAGATAGAAGAGTGTCCCTGCTGTCAGAATACAATTTCCTTAGTGGGGAGGATTCCTCTATCCAACTCACTTGTGTGGATGGAGGAATTCATGAAGTGTTTTTGATCAGCCCACTGGCTGGATAGAAAAAAATAAGTCCTCAATGGCCAGCTTTACAATTACCTTGTTGCTTCAACAATTTAAGCCAGTGACTCAGATCAAGTATATGGATAATCTGGATTCTTGGTGTAGGTCAAGGACTCGTAAAGTATCAAAGTCTGAGAGCTTATGTTAACACACAGTATATATACTTACATTAGCCCCCTTCACACTCGAGTGTTTTTCTACATTCCTGATGTCCAACTACACAGAATCCCATTCTTTCTAATTGTGGCTCTTCACAGTTGTACACTCAGTCGGTGTACATCCTACACTTAAAAAACTACATGAGCTTTAGCTTTATTTTAGCAGATGTTTTTGATCCCTTAGACTTCAGTGGGAACACATAAGGAATTCCTTTCCTCCTATAGAACTGCTCTCCTTCCCTTGCCCAGCCCAGGTAGAAAAACTCCTGAAGCTTGATAGACATGCAAAAATGCCTGTAATATGCTTCAAAATCAACAGGAATACATTCTGCTCAGGTTCGAATGCAGGCTTAAGATGGTCGCAACTATGTATATATCTCAACAACTTTTTACTGCCCAGTGTACGTATGCAGCTGCAGCAAGCCATGATTCTGGTACAGTTGTTTTTTTGTTTTTAAAGCCAGTGATAGGCTTTCCTGTAAGTAGTCATTTTTACAGCGTTGTGGAGCCTCCACCCACTTTGCCTGCCAGAGAGCATGAGACTGCGGTTGGTTTTTGGTGCAGATGCGGTGCGATTTGAGCCATACAAAATGTATGGCGCAAATTGCACCGCACAGAAATCACATGTGATTTTCACAGGAATGCGGTGCGGTTCCTGTGTGAATCACATGCGATGTGCCGCACCGCATCAGTGTGAACCCGGGCTGAGCCATCCCATGTTCAAGAGCTTTTTAAAGGGCTTTTACTGCTAGTTTAGAGCCTGCAAAATAATTTAATGTAAATAATCTGGTCTCAGTTGAACTTTTAAAAATACTGTAGACTACTTTTGAGGTGTTTTGGTTTTTCGGTATGTACTTTTAGAAGCACTATATTTGTTTTATTATAATGCTTGTCCACCACAATGGGCTGTCTTCTGACATTATATATTTTAACTATATTTGACAAGTGGGTTTTTTTTTTTGTTTTTTTTAACCCCCTTTATGCATTCATCAAGAAAATGTAAATGTATATATTCCTTGTTTGGTAAACATTGCTTTGTGTCTGTAAAAGTTGCATGTGTCTGTGTCTTTACTTTGTAGCAAAACCTGGATGATGCTGTACAAATGTACGAGCTCTTCTCAGTTATTATACACAAGGGCAGTTGCTATGGAGGCCATTATCATGTCTATATCCGGGATGTGGATGAATTAGGACACTGGGGATACCAGGTGACTAGATCCATTCCTAAAGTGTTGTTAAAAAACCAAAAAGAATCATTTTTGACTAAGCTTATGGAAGATTCTGAGCCAGTGTTTCTCAGTCGGTGTTCCGTGGAACGAGAAGTCCCCAGGGGTTCTGCTGCAAATCAACATTGGGGGATGATGTATACAGCCCAATGTTGTTTCCAGTAATGTTCTTAATGCACTCTGACAGTCAGTACTGTCAGCGCGCATTGATACCTAATGCCTCCTCTGTAGTTCCGATTCCTGTGAACTCAGAGGGAGGCGTCGGCAGTACTGCACAGAGCTGGAGCTGCATGGGCAGGTGTTACTTTCTATGGCAGTGCTGATTGCAAGATGTTGGAAGGGAGCACAAAGCGCAAGCCCGTGATTGGTTCATTAGGTGAGATCCCTTGATTACTCTGTATAGTGGTGCCATGCAGAGTGCAGGGAACGGGGGGGGGGGGGGCAGAGAGACGGAGCACTGTGTGTGTAGGGCAGCAGTCAATACGGACTGGAGGTTGAGCAGAGAAAGAGAAGGAGCACATGGCTAAAACAGGAGGTGACATCCAGTGTTTGGCAGCAGTGATGCAGACTGCAGAGAGTGGGAGCGCACAGTTGGATGAGACTGAATGTAGCAGGAGGTGAGATCATATTAGCTTTGTGTTATGTCATACCTGTACATAAAGCTATTATGATCTCACCTCCTGCTACATTCCGTCTCATCCAGCCATGTGCCCCTGCAATGTTCATTCAGCACTGCCACACGCTGGATGTCACCCCCCTGCTACATTAATCCATGTGCTCCCACTCTCTGCTTCCCCCCCTCCACAGTCTGCATTCACTGCTGCCAGACACAGAATGTCACCTCCTGATCAAGCCACGTGTTCCCACTCTGCACTCCACTCTATGCCACCCTCTGAGTTCACAGGAGGCATCAGGTGTCCATGCTCACTGTCAGTGCGTATTAAAAACCGCATTGGGTAGATATACATCCGCCACAATATTGATCTGCAGTGGAACCCCATGTGAGAAACCCTGTGTTATGGATTTGCAGAGCTGTGCAGGGAAATATACTGTTATTTACTGCACTGTTCCCCACAGGTCCTCCTCTTCTGTCTGTCCCAGGCTGTTAAATGTACTATCACTTGGGATGGACAAAAGGAGGGTTAGTGGGGATCAAGGAGAAAAAGCATGTTGCAACAGCTTCCCTATACTGCTCTGAATTTGTTTAATTGCTGTTATATCTACAGCTTGCTGATCAGATCCAATGTTCCATGAGCTGTAGATCTAAAATTTTTTTTTTTCGGGGGTTCCCTGAGATCTCAATCTTTTTGCAAAGGGTTCCTCCAAGGTAAAAAGGTTAAGAAACGCTGTTCTAAGCTTTTGTCTTATGGTGTATATGTAAACCCTAACCAGGAAGGTCTCTTATTGGTTTTGAATATAGCATTGAAAGTATTTTGTTTTGATAAGTAAAAAAATGTACCTGTCAATCCTGACCTGACAGAAATCTTGAAAGTTGCTAACTACTGGTGTTCTCTGCCTGTGCTGACAGTTATCAATTGGCCTGCTTGGCATTGTCTGGTTTCTCTCTGGACTACAAAACACTCCAATATGGTAGGGAGAGGGGAGGTTGGTTTTCTGTAATCCTAATCAGGAGCAAGCAGTTTAGCTAATGATATTGCTGTTTCTACTGTATATAGATGCAATACATTCAGTAAGCATTGTCAGCCACAACAGGAAATGTGTTAATGGTAATATTACCAGGTTAAAAAAAATGGGAAAAAAGAAGCCTGAAAAAAAAAAAAAAAACAGTTGTGGTATATAAAGGGTTTGTTTGTTTTTTTGGGTTTTTTTTTTTAGACGGGAACTATTATTGTGCAGATATATTTATGACAAAAAAAAAATTTTAGTGACTTTGTGTCTATCCATAAGGCAAGTCCGAAATCAATTTTAAAGCTTGAGAGTTGCTCCTGTGTTAGCTGCCTCCTGTCTCTCAGCTTCTAAGTGTTCCTGTCAAAAGCCCTGCACTGTATGGGGTGACATAGAGGCTGTGCCCCAATGATTCTGTTTGTTTAAATAAGATGTCACATGTAGACACTATGGGGTTTATTTACTAAAGCTGGAGAGTCCAAAATCAGACTCCCTTCTGCATAGAAACCAATCAGCTTCTAACCTCAGCTTGTTCAATGAAGCTTTGGCAATGAAACCTGGAAGCTGATTGGTTTCTATGCAGAAGGGAGTCTGATTTTGGACTCTCCAGCTTTAGTAAATAAACCCCTGTTTGTTTGGCTAAAACTTCAACTATGTGGATCTTCAGTAAAAAATTTGCTTCAAACAAACTGAAGTTAATGCTGATGTTTGGTTTTAACATCCAACAAACACCGTTTTCTGTTTCGATTACTTGTTTAATCGCATTTTTACCTTTTAGCAGGAAGAGGGAAAAAAGGTGCCAGTGATGGGGGATTCCAGGGAAGAACAGGACTGTCCTGCTGTTACACTAGCTGCTGTCATAGCGGAGGTAAATGCATAGCCGCAAACCTATCCTATTCTTGGAAATTGCTCTCAGGATATGTGTTGAGCACAATTCATATGTTACCAGTTTATTAACAATGACATTCTTCTCTTTCTTTTATCTTCTGCCTGTCCTTTTGTCTGTAGTAATTCACCAGTGTTGCAGTATGTCAGCTCTGCTGATAACCTTAAAGCCAGCTCTTCTGAGCTCCTGGCAGGAGGAAAGCAATGTAAAAAAACACGCCTAAATCCACATTTTGCAAATGTGTGTAGGTACGTCTAGCCTTTGTGTGTTCTTTTATCGCATTGGCCAGAATAATAATTTATTCTGGCCATTGAAATGAATTAATGCTCAAGTGCTAAATGCACCTAGCCTTTAGGTGTGTTTTATGCACGTTGGGCTTTTTTTCTGTTGAAACTATCCTCCCTTGGACACACAAATGATAGTTTGGGTTTTTTTTGTTTTTTTTCTGACTCTAAATGTCTGAAAATGCCCATGTGTGTATGCAGACAGAAAAACTGTCAAATTCCATTAAAAGCAGCATTTTTGACACCCAGTGTGTCATTGTGTATGAGGCCTTAAATGTATCTTTTGGTTAAACCCCTTTTCCAAAGTTAATATTTTTGTCACTGTTAGCAAGGCTTGCCCTTTGTGCAGGTGACCACTGTCACCAAGGGGGAAAATAGGGCAAAATCCATAATTTTAGAGTTGTCTCCAGAATTCATCCAATGGGAACACCTGTACCAGGGATGGCTGTCTAAAAGGAAATTCCCTCAGTTTTGGACATTTCCTCTAAGCTCCTGTTGTCTCTCTTGTACAGAATGTGAAGAGAAATCTCTCTAATGGTACACAAATGGCAAAAAAATTACCTTTTCTTTGTTCAATCATATTTATTAAATATTTCAGGCAGTACAATAAGAGAAAGCTAGGAAACAACCCCAAAGCAAAATGTTACAGAATAAAGGACAAGGACTATTGACAAGTGCCACATAAAGGCTAAATAAGTGACCTTTTCATACTCTGTCCAAAATGATGAAAATGTTTGGCATCCTAATGGATTTCAGTGGCTTTGATTCGAATTTTACTTGCCAGGTCATTTCATGCTCATTATTCATGAAATATATTCTGACCCTGCTTAAAGGGGACTTTAAACACTGTGCCAGAAAGGTAAGCAGGGGGCGAAGGACTAGTTGGGGAGTATTAAAGGAGCAGTAAGAGAGGTGTAGAAAGCACAGAATGGGAGAAGCAGCAGTGCCTTAGATGAATTTACACTACAAATTTACAGATGGAGTGTTGACACTCTCACATTCCAGGAACACTGCTGCATTGCTTTTTTTTCCCAGGAGGAATTCCAGACCAAAGGTGCATTTTTAGGGTTGTACTCAGGCACAATTAACATGTTTAGATGTTCATTATAATGTAGCAAATTGTTACTTTTTTAGTTTGGACCCACTTGAATATGAAAAGGTACAGGGAAGCATCTTATGGAAGAAGTAATGTAATAAACATATTAATCTCTTCTCTAAAACAGATTATCCTTTTTGTTTTTATTTTTCATCAACCTTCATTGGAATAAAAAATACTGATTTCTGATGTAAACTCAGCACCAAAGGTTAACAGGTTGAACTACCCACATACCTGATATGTCATAGGTAATAAAATTGCTTGCGATTGAATGGTAAAAATTGCAAACAATCGCTATACAAATCGGGAAAAATTAATCTCTTTGGTGTATGGCACATATGTACCAGTAATTATCAAACATTAAAGCACTGTATGATCATGTGCAGTTAATCTTCATTTCTTCGTACCTGTGTAGTTTACATAATACTGAGCCACTTATTTCATTTGTCAGTGCTGTCTCTAAAATTAGTTATTTATCATTAGTGATATAACTAAACGATTGTGCTTCTAAAAATTACCCCTGTAGAAATGGGCCTAAAAATTCCGGTGTAAGGTTTCTACTTTTGACATTCTAGCTCCCCCAAACTGTCTAGTGCAAGGGTGGCTGTATTTTTTACTTATTTTTCATTATGGAAAGAGTGGCAAGAGGATGTCTGCAGGAGTGTGAGCAGATTTGAGAACTCTATTGGCTAAGAAGTCACTGATACAGTCCCTGAGAAGTATAAGTGGTCAGTTTGTGATTCATCCTCCCCGGGGTGTACCAATATTAGTTTTGAGAGACTAACCATTTACATTACAGTTTTTACAAGGTTTTTTGTACTTGCTTTAGTGTTGCAGCAAATTTGATCTACTTCCTGACTTTTCATCTGTTTGGAGGGACCTTTTAAAGATGATCTGTAGTCAAACGGCTAAATATGTAACTGAAATATTTTTATGTGAACTACACTATATTGCCAAAAGTATTGGGACGCCTGCCTTTACACACACATGAACTTTTATGGCATCCCAGTCTTGGCACATAGGGTTCAATATTGAGTTGGCCCACCCTTTGCAGTTATACCAGCTTCAACTTTTCTGGGAAAGCTGTCCACAAGGTTTAGGAGTGTGTCTATGGGAATGTTTGACCATTCTTCCAGAAGCACATTTGTGAGGTCAGGCACTGAAGTTGAACAAGAAGGCCTGGCTCGCAGTCTTCGCTCTTAATTCATCCCAAAGGTGTTCTCTCGGGTTGAGGTCGGGACTCTGTGCAGGCCAGTCAAGTTCCTCCACCCCAAACTCACTCATCCATGTCTTTATGGACCTTGCTTTTTGCACTGGTCATGCACAGTTATGTTGGAACAGGAAGGGTCCATCCCCAAACTGTTCCCACAAGTTGGGAGCATGAAATTGTCAAAAATGTCTTGGTATGCTGATGCCTTAAGAGTTCCCTCCACTGGAATGAAGGGGCCAAGCCCAACCCCTGAAAATCAACCCCACACCAAAACAGCCCCTCCACCATTCTTTACATTTGGCACAGTGCAGTCAGGCAAGTACCGTTCTCCTGGCAACCGCCAAACCCAGACACGTCCATTGGATTGCCAGGCAGAGAAACGTGATTTGTCACTTTGGAGAACACGTCTTCACTGCTCTAGAGTCCAGTGGCGGCATGCTTTATACCATTGTATCTCACGCTTTGCATTGCACTTGGTGATGTAAGGCTTGGATGCAACTGTTGTGCTAATCTGAAGGCCAAACGAAGTTTGAAGGGCTTTCGCTATTGACATTGCAGACAGTTAGCAACTTTTGCACACTGTGCACTTCAGCATGCGCTGACCCCGATCTGTCATTTTACGTGGCCTTCCACTTAGCAGCTAAGTTGCTGCTGTTCCCAGTTGCTTCCACTTTATTATAATACCTCTGACAGCTGACTGTGGAATATTTAGTAGCAAGGAAATTTCACATATGGACTTATTGCACAGGTGGCAACCTATCACAGTACCACGCTTGATTTCACTGAGCTTCTGAGAGCAACTCATTATTTCACAAATGTTTGTAGAAGCAGTCTGCATGCCTAGGTGCTTAAATTTTATACACCTGTAGAAATATAGTGTATCTTACCTACCGCAAGATTTGTCATGATTTTCTTCCAGTCCTGTGATTAAGACACTCATACCAATCACTGTAGCCCTGTACCTCAACTGCTGTTCAACAGTAGAACCTCATCCAGGATACACCACCAGGCTGCTGAAAGGACAGTGAATGAGAAACCACATACACAGGAGTCAGTACAACTATGTCCACACTTGACTCTCCTAGTGTCAGCAAGCCCTCTTTGTGTAATATTTTGAGCACTGGTAAATACCCAAAATCCTAATTTACTGCTATTGCTGAACCTCCTTCTCTCATATGCAAGTTCTGCTATGCAGGAAAATATAGGAGGCTGACATAAGGGCAAATCTAAGTTGTAGTGCATTAAAAATATTTTTGTTTTTTTTTTCTTAGTACAAATTGGGGTTTTTAAATATATCTGCAATTTAGCTCTAAAAACTAATGGGTTCCAACATGAGAACAATCAGTAGTAACTATAGAGGTAGCATGAGTCGCAACTGCGACCTGGTCCCATGCTGCAGGTGCCCGTGTGGCTCCCCTGTCACCTTTTTCTACACTTGATAGGAGAGGCGGTATATAGAAGAAGCGATCTCCTTCTGCAGACGCTGAAAGTTCTGCAGGAGCCACGAGAAAAATGAAGGAGATCACATCTATACGCTGCCCTGCTGACCCTCCTATCCAGCCTGGTGCTAAGTGATTCAGCCTGGCCCACTGCCCACTGTCCTACTGACCCCCTCCTGTCCTACTGCCCCTATCCGGTCACACTTCCCCCCTCCTGTCACACTGCCCCTTCCTGTCCCACTGCCCCCCTCTTCTGTCCCACTGCCCCCCTCTTCTGTCTTACTGTCCTTTCTCCTGTCACAATGCCCACCTCATGTCGCAGTGCCCCCCTTTCCTGTCACACTGCCCACCTCTTGTCGCAATGCCCCCCTTTTCTGTTACACTGCCTCTCCTGTCACAGTGCCCCCCTCTCCTGTCACAGTGCACCCCCCTCACACTGCCCAGGTACCCTTCTGAAAATTGATGGCTGCATTCGTTTTTTAGACTTTCTTTTATTTTTATCTGGTGATCCAGGCAGTATATCTGTTGTTTTTCAACAGAACAGGTTCTCCTGCAGATGTAGCAGTTAAGAGGCGTATGTCAAACCATCTCGCACTGACAAGTACTTACAATGATCAGCTTTTATTTACATAAAACCTTCATCCGAAAAGGAAACAAAAACTGCTGTAACTGATTACAAATTGTTAGCTGGAGTTTGGCTTCAGTTTGTTAGTGTGTTGAAATCTGCTACTGCATTTAACACTCCCTTCCCCCAAGACTGAAGATGCCCCCTTTGCTCCCTCATCCTGAGCTGGGGCACTCTAATACAGGAGGTGTGTTACTGTGTGTGATGGGTTTGGCGGGAGCATGGTGGTGGTGGGAGGAGCGGCAAAATGCACCTTTTACCTGTGTGGACACAAATCCTTCCACTGGCCGTGTATGATACAGGTTACTTGTTTCCTGCTTCCTCTGTGTGCACCCCCTCCCCCCTACGGCCCTACCGACTTCCCCCCTTCTCTCTCTTGCTGGGTGCTGTGGGCAATGCTTTCAGGATGGAGAGTGGGGGAGGGGGTAGGTAAATGTCACTTACCAGCCACTTCCTTTTCTGAATGAACACCGTGAGTGATCAGTACCGTGAATGAGTATGAAGATCTGTACAGATCTATTCCTGCACATTCATTCTGTGCAGCTGAGTTAGAGATTGAGGACTGTGTCTTCGATCTCCTTTCTCTGTCTGAAAGGTGAAACATCAGAGGTCTCTTTAGACCCTGATGTCTCACCAAAGCCCCCCAACAGGGCTCCTAAAACATTTGTATAAAAAGAAAAAAAAGATAAATATTTAAAAAAAAAATAGTAAAAACCTAAATTAAAAATTAAAAACTACTGACCCCGTCCACTGCATTACTGACTGACATTATTCACAGTCCTACTGACGCCACCGGCAGAATCACCAGGGTTGCAAAGTTCGCACCTGCGTCAGGACCCTGGCGTTCTGCCACCATAATAAAGGGCCCAGCGAGGGGAGTATAGGGTCCTGTGATCAGTGGGAAAGGCTCATGCTGGGGGGGGTTGGGGGGGGCCCTACATTTTTTTGCACTGGGGCCCTGAAGGTTCTAATAGTGTACTTTATAGTATCTGGGTAGATATCTATTTTGCAAAATGAAATACTTTTTCAGCTGCTGGAAAGCCCATATCAAACAAACACTTCATGTAAAAGGGGTGTAGATCTGTCTACTGTATGAATTATCAGATTTTTTTTCATACAGATGTAGTTTCTGCTTAATTATTATAATTGTATGACTTTCACCTCACAATACAGCCATTTACCTGTATTAACTAATATTCTAATTTTAAAGGCTGGAGCAGATAAAATGCTTCCACTGGATCAGCTGAGCCAGAAACTGCTGGAGCACACAGGATCCTCTTGGAATAAGGTCTATAGGAAAAAACATGGAGCCCTCCGCAAGGTACGGAACAAATCTAAGAGTAACAACACGTGAAATATTGCTGAATAAAAAAAAATTAACTGGGAGGTTTGTACATCTTAAAGTGGAACTCCAGGCAACACTTTAGTTTTTTTTTTGTAGGTTTAGAAAGAAGAAGACTAGGACTAGGCCCTCTGTTGTGTCTTTTGTATTTTCATATATGGCCCTGTTAAGGAGATTCTTCCTCGCTACCTGTTCCAGTGAAAAAGCTGTTGACAGTACATGAATTTATTGTAAAACCAGCAAAAGAGACGCAATTCTGATATAAATTCTTTAGTAGTGTGAGGGCAGGCCTGAACCTTCATAAGCTTGTATAAGTACTAAATTGAGCACAGAAAGATGTTTTTAAACTCCGTAAATCAAAAGATGAAATTAACAATGCACTATAATATCTAAATAGTGCAAGATCAAAAGCTTGTACAATGTGTGAAAAGTCCAAAGTTATCTGTTTGTTTTGGTACTTACACATTGATGTATTGTGATTGCAATATATAAACTTTTTTCATTTTCTGGTGTTTTTATATATTGAATTGGGAATTCACTAAGTGGATTGAGCGCAGAACTAAATTATACACATTGCATCTTTGTATGTCGATGCCATGAAAAGTAATGTTTAATAGTATGCATTAGAAATATCAAGGTTCATATATTTATTGCTACTACAACTAAAATATGCCATTCAAAAGTCTTTCCTAATTGCTATGTTATTTTTATTACAGTTCCTGCAGAATCATCCCTCTGTCTTTCAGTTAAGCTCTGATGGATCTTTGGTGGGGTTAGCTCATACAGAAAATGCCACTGATCCTCAGTGCTGTAAGCCAAGCAGTTCAGGAAAAATCCAAGCCCCACAGAAAGGTGCTAGTCACTGGTTTGATTTCAATGACTCCGCAGTTCAGTGTATCCAGGAACGGGAAATTGAGAAACAGTTCCAGGGAAAAGAGAGTGCATACATGCTGTTCTACCGTAAAAGCCAACTAAAGAGACCTAACGAAGGTAAGTCTGTTATACACTATATTGCCAAAAGTATTGGGACGCCTGGCTTTACAAGCACATGAACTTTAATGGCATCCCAGTTTTAGGGGTCAATATTAAGTTGGCCCAGCCTTTGCAGCTGTAACCGCTTCAATTCTTCTGGGAAGGGTGTCCACAAGGTTTAGGAGTGTGTCTATGGGAATGTTTAACCATTCTTCCAGAACTGCATTTGTGAGGTCAGGTACTGATGGTGGACAAGAAGGCCTGGCTTGCAGTCTCCGCTCGAATTCATCCCAAAGGTATTCCATTGGGTTGAGGTCAGGACTGAGTGCAGGCCAGTCAAGTTTCTCCACCCCAAACTCGCTCATCTATGTCTTTATGGACCTTGCTTTTTGCACTGGTAGGCAGTCATGTTGGAACAGGAGGGGGCCATCCCCAAACTGTTCCCACAAAGTTGGGAGCATGAAATTGTCCAAAATGTCTTGGTATGCTGACGCCTTAAGAGTTCCCTTCACTGGAACGAAGGGGCCAAGCCCAACACAATGCATTCAGGCAAGTACCGTTCTTCTGGCAACCGCTAAACCCAGACACATCCATCGGATTGCCAGAAAAGAGAAGCGCGGTTTGTCACTCCAGAGAACACGTCTCCAGTGCTCTAGAGTCCAGTGGCAGTGTGCTTTACACCACTGCATCTGATGCTTTGCATTGCACTTGGTGATGTAAGGCTGGGATGCAGCTGCTCAACCATGGAAACCCATTCCACGGGTACGAAGGTCTCTACGCACTATAGTGCTAATCTGAAGACCAGATGAAGTTTGGAGGTCTTTAGCTATTGACACTGCAGACAGTTGGCGACTTCTGTGCACTTCAGCATGCGCTGACCACGCTGTGTCATTTTACGTGGCCTACCACTTGGTGGCTGAGTTTCTGTTGTTCCCAGTTGCTTCCACTTTATTACAGTAGCAAGGTAATTTCATGGATGGACTTATTGCACTGGTCATGGTACCATGTTTGAATTCACTGAGCTCCTGAGAGGTACCCATTCTTTCACATAATGTTTGTAGAAGCAGCCTGCATGCCTAGGTGCTTGATGTTATACACCTATGGCCATACAGGTGATTGAAACACCTGAATCCAGTGATTTGGAGGGGTGTCCCAATACCTTTGGCAATATAGTGTAAGAATCTAATATAGTATATTCACTTTTTCCTTTGTATAATCTAATCACATTTACTGGGGGGGACAGCAAGCCAACATCACACTTTTTAGGCAAGAAACATTGTTTATTGCATGCCAAATTATGGCCCTTAAGTGGATTTAGTCCAAAGCTCCTACCTTAGCCCAGTGGATAGCAGCACCTAATTAAACAATCCCATTATGATTAAACGTATATGATAACAGATACTGCCCACCTAAACAACAACAATTTGGGATGCCTGATGTAAATCAACACTCACTTTTATGAGACATGATAGTCATTGGTTTTTCCCTGTATTAATGAGGCACAAGAGATGGAGGTGGGTTTGTATGTTTGGTTTTATTGTCATGCTGTAAACATATCCGTCTAGCACTGTATACCTTTTGTACTGTTGACAATCTTGTTTATGCATGATATTTTCAATAAACAGAAAAGGCAAAAATCAGGATTTGCATATTGGAGCTCCCATTACATCAGGGTGCTCATAAAGTTAACAAAAGGTCCAGCTGCACTACACTTACTGACATTTAAACAATTAACAGTTAAAACAAAGGAATGGTGTACTTTTAATGTGATGAGAGGAGTATTGGGACTGCTATTGCAGGCCTACTTTTGCAAATCTAGATGCCTAAAGTGGTTTTAAAGGCTTATTCTATGCATAAAGGTAAAAAACCTTCTCTGTGCAGCAGCCCCTCCAATACTTACCTAAGCCCCATCCAGCGATGTGCATGAGAGCTTCAGCTCTCCAGGGGCTCTCCCTCCTCATTGGCCAGGACAGCAGCTGCTGTCAATCACAGCCAATGAGCGAAGCAGGAGAGGGAGGGGACAGGGCTGAGCCACAGCTCTGTGTGTGAGTGGACATGCAGAGCAAGGGTCACAGAAGTGAGCCCGCTTGGGTGCCCCCATAGCAAACTGCTTGCTCTTGAGGCACTCAGAAGGGGGGGGGGTAGGAGTGCTGGCAGGGGACCCAAGAAAAGAAGGGTAAGTGCTTCTCTGTGCAAAACCACTGCACAGAGCAGGTAAGTATGACATGTTCGTTATTTAAAAAAACTATTTGCTTTAAATAATGGTGGCTGACTTCAGTATGTTGCAGTCACAGTTCTCAAGCAAGCATGCTGTAAATAAATGTCAGAGTTGTTAGAACTAGTGATGGCAACCACCAATAATCTCTTGTGACCATGCCCTTTTAAAATCCATGAATACCCTGCAATAAAGGAGACTTGTACTGAGTGACTGTCACTGTCATTATGAAATTTCTGACTGCCTTGTTCTGATGCTAATCCATTGGCTTCAGTAGTTTCTGAGGCACGAACTAATATGTAAAATGTTGACAGATTAATAAGTTTTTAATTGACTGCTTGCTTCAGGTCTCTGAAAGTGTTAGCGCCCATTCACATCACTTATGTGTTGTGGTAACGCACATTGACATGCTTCAATGTCATTCATTTTTAATAGCATTCCAACACACCTCTCAAAACGCACGTGCACTGCAGCGCAGCACAACATATGATGTCCTGTGTGTGGTACTGTAATAAGATGTAAAAGGCACTTTTTTTTTTTTTTTTGTGCGTACAGGTGCTTTGCAGCCTGATTTGTTTTACCCTCATCATGAAGAAGTTAAAATTGAACTTAAGTCCTCGATCACACCATACATTCAGAAAAACTGATAGAAACTGACGTGCAGATTTCACTTGCAGAGACATCAGGTTTTCATGCATGCTTCAGTGAGTTTTATGCATGTTGCAGATTCCTGCGCAGAAAAAAATCTGCACACGATACTAGTGTTGTGGTGTGAACAGAGCACATAGAGAACAACTGATTTTGTTGTGCCCTTGCAGAACACTTGCAGAAAAACTGACGTCTCTACACCATGGTGTGAACGAGTGCTAAGGCAATTTTTAATTTATTTTTTTAATATATATTTTGGCTAGAGTAATGGACGGTTTAAAATCTGTTTTTTTTTTTTGTTTTTTTTTTCCTTTGACATCTATGTTCCATCGGGGATATTTCTCTTTACTTTCTGCCCCAGAGCCAAAACAGGAAGTGAGAGGAAAGCCCTATAACGTGAGGGAATCCTGGGATGTCACCCAGTTCACCAGCACTAGTGTGCCCATTGGAAGATTTCCCCGTTTTATTCTGTTATTCCTGTTCTAGTGCCAACGCATATTTTGAGATTTTCTTTCACGTTCATTCTAATCCCTCTCCACTCTATGCAAAACTAAAAGGGAAGTTTTTTGCCTTTAGTTATACTTTAAGTGTAACCTCTTTTGTAAACTTTTATTGTCAGCTAAAGTCAATGCACAGTTTGGAGTCCCTGACTACCTGATACACCAGATGAACAAAATAAATGAGGAGCTTCAGCTGAAGAGGTAAGTTTGCTTCTTACTTGCATATAACCTTTCGAACAATATCCATTTAATGATCTCTTCAAACTTCCTTTCTTTTTAAAGGTTAACTTCAGTTTCCTCACTTACAATTCAGTATCCATCCACACTCTACAAGATCATAAATCATATTACATGTATCAGAATTGGTATTTCATGAATATATTGTGACTACCCTAAATGAAAATAAATATTGATGTTGTACTGCTTGAAATATTGAACCAGTTCATAAAAATAAACAATTCCTTGGAGGTACCCATCATGGTGGGTAGCAGGTGAGGTAGCATGAAGACTCAGTAATGGTCCAACTCTGCCCTGAATATTGTAGATGCAGACTGTTTGATGTCCAGAAAAAATAAGAAAACAAGAGGAAATTCAGTAAGAGAATGAGAAGAAGGCTCCACTGCAGGGATTTAAGCAATCAGTGGCGGTGATCATATGCACTGCCATAAAAGGGGGTCACCGAGGCCAACCCGGCACACTTTGTAGTATATGATCCCAAAACACATTAGATAAAAGTAGCAATACCATTTCCTGACCATAGGAAAAAGAGAGAGGGAGGGAGAGAAGAAGAAAAAAAAAAAAAAAAAAAAGAGTGAAGGAGAGAAACACGAGTATCAAGACCCATTTGTAGGCATGCTTGTGAGCAAATATGAATGATACCAATGGGAGAGAGAGAAAAAATGGGGGGGGGGCATAGTACAGAACTCTTAGGTTGCGGGGCGGGAGACCAAGACCATAGTTATAAACTTGCATTGAGTTTAATAAATTCAGGTCTACTGGGCCATCTAAGAGCCCTTCAGTGGTAAGTTTGTGGATTCTGAAAGTAGTGGACTAGCCTAGGAACCAGCAGAGCAATGGAAAAGTGGGGTGACGGTAGAAGTTCAGTCTTCGTCTGGAACTTCAGGTCCAGAGGTCGACCAGGCCTATGTGCAGGACGTCGTCTTCAAGGAAGAGGTTCCCAAAGTGGAGTAAGGCAAGGAGACTTGCAGGAGGATGATTGGGATGCCTGTGAGCCAGTGGATGTTGGAAGCATGAGCTGTAGCTTTGTAAGAACTTCCTGAGCCTCTTCTGGTGAAAGTGTAGGGATGGCCTTCAAAGGAAGGCCTTGTTAGTTTAAATGGAATGTTCCAGAGATTATTTTATACGGTGGTTTTGTGGCGTCTGCACGAAGGGTTTCAACTCTTTGCGTCTCAAGAGCATTTGTGGAGCCAGATCAGAGAATATTTGATAATTGTGGGATTGAAAAGTGAACTCATTTTTGGACCAGGCTGCTTGCTTGACTGACTCCTTGTGGGTTTGATTATGGTGTCGCGTAGGGGACTGTCTGGTCTTTTGGAGCCTAGGGCCCTATGGATCCGGTCGAAGTTCCAGTTTTTCAATTGGAGTGCTGGGAATGAGTTCCTGTTATAAGACGGTAACTGTGGCGTTTAAGTCTTCTATGAAGTCAGGTAGGCCTGTAATCCTAAAGTTGCCCCTCCTGCTACGGTTCTTCAGGTCCTCAAGTTTCTGAAGGGCGGAAGCAAGGTCCAGTTTAATAGTCTCAATATCTTGTTTGTGATTGTCGATCACCAGGATTGCATCATCCATTTTGTGTTCAAGGTCATAGATATGGGATCCTATGTCCCTTATTTCACGAGTGATCTTAGTAGTGAATTGTTTCATTGCAGTATTTAGTTCCTTTTGGAGGAGTTTAAAGTTTTCAAGGAGAGCTAAATCTCAAACTGTTACCACAGTGGGATCTGCGGTTTGTGCAGCAGTGAGACTCTCATTGGAAGAGTCATTCAGTTGGGATACAAGCTCTTGGGACGAAAGTGGATGTTCAAGCGAGGTCTGTGTAGAGAGGCCTTTTAGCAGAGGTGGTTGAAGTCTTAGATGGGCCCGACGTGGATTTAGTTGATTTGGCCTGGGTTTTTCCCCATGGTCCCAGAGGTAACCAGGGGCACCCGGTAAAGGGCAGTTGTGGTCATTAACAGGAGAAACTCAGAGGGGTGTCAGGACTTGCAATACAGAACAGGAGACAGCAAATCGTATGATATTAGAAGAAACGCTGGAGATAAAGTTAGTGCTAGGGTCCAGCAGGGTGGAATCAGGGCTTTGGGTTTGCTGAATGGACTAGGGTCCATGGGTTCAGCGAGCCCCTGCAGACCAGATGAAAGAAATTTTCTGTGGCAAGTAAGGAGAGACGAGTGAAATGCTGCCGGCCTTTGGTGTAGGGGTGCCCCTGTAGAGACGGAACACACGTCCTTACCCACCTTTGCAGGGAGCCTGTATCAGTGAGGCGGTAGGTAGCTGCAGTGTCTAGGTTCCAGCAGGGGTGTCTTCAGTTCCCTCCATGAGGAAGCAGTGTGGCCGCCAGCTGTGGCGGTCTGTGTACAAGCCTGTAAGCTTGTGAAGGCCCGAGGAGCCAGGGGAGCAGCGAAACAGGCTGAGACCTGAGACCACATGGGTAGACCGGCTGCTTGTATGGCGGAACTGTCCGGTGCTCGGCTGTGGGGCAGGCAGAGAGTATAGGCAGGCCGGTGGTATGGCGGTGGGTCGCAGGTACCCACACATGCTTCAAGGCAGCCACCGCTGCCATCTTCTTCCGAGTGCAGAGTGGTGCCTCTGATTGAGATCTGGGACCCCACAATCTGCGCCCGCCGGGTGTTCCAGGCCAGTCTGCCGGGCTCTCAGGTGGTCGAGGGAGGTGCGCAGGATGTCAGGCTGAGGATCAGCAGGTGAGTAAGTGGTCTGGTGCGCCCGGGCGGTGAGGAGCTGTTTCAATGTGTGGCCATCTTTGGCCATCATCTGCTCAACTGCGTCCCCATATGTCGTCAATTTAACACCTACAAATCATGTAGTTTCCTTTTCTTTTATTTTTTAAACCCCTGTAAAAATACAGGTCTACGCATAGCCAATTATTTTTGGGGAAGAAGATAGTCTTGAAGTCCCTTCCACAGATATGATGTTAAAATCCACCAGTTCAGCAATGTATGTGTTCCCTTTAAGAGGCTGGATGCCTCCCTCTATCCACTGATTCGACCTTTAGCTGGAATATGCTCAGAACAAATAAAGAGGGGGCATAGTATATTATTTCAAATAACCAATGTGATTTTAAGGAAAACATTTTACACTGACATGTACCAGTGCACATACACATGCTGGTCACTACAGCATGATCACCACAATGGGTCCAGGTAACAAGGTGAGGGTGTAATTCTCACAGAGGTGGAGCATGATTTCACATGTTTGCTGTGAAGGCAAATACACAAGACAAGACCATAGTCTTAAAAACTTTGAATCCACATACACACAGAAAAGCACTTACAAAATCAGTGCAGCAATGTAAGCAACACTGTATCACATTTAGATTCCGGCTCAGCCCACCTCCTGTTTCTGATCTAATGACATCACTCCACATACTGCACCCTGAGCGTTATGTCTCTGTGAAGTCAGGGGTACCTTGTTGTGTCCACAGGTCATGAAGTGAAGGAAAAACTTTTCAATAGAACACAAATGACAAAAAAATAGTGACAAGGCTTAAACTATTCTATCCTAAATGGAAAAAAGTTTTAAATATACTTTCACTTTTAAAATATGCATTTCCATTTTTTTTAATGAAAATTCTTACTGAAACTTCTTTAAAAATTATACATCGGTATACACATTAACAACCTTTTGAATCTGGATGTTCATTTCACAGTTACTAAAACTTACACTATTTGAAATGTATAGAAAAGGACCCAAACGTTGGAGTAAATGATTGCAGACAGAGTTGGTGGTGCCATTTCTTGTTTTGTTACATTTGAGATATTTATAATAATACAAGTTTCCGAAACATGGGCTTTTCCCTTTAGTGTGCAGTCAACAAAATTAATTTTGTTGATATCTTCCACCCATGCAGGAAGGATGTCGACACAGAAGCCCATCGGATGAACCTGCAACTTCACCTTTCATCTTGCTATCACTTTGAAAATGGTGCTTTGCACCCAATGGGCTCCCAAGGAGATAGCACATTGGAGATAAGTGTAGATCGACGCGGGACTGTGGCATACCTGAGAAAAACAGTTTTCGAGGTGATCTATTGCTTGTTTTTTATTTGAAATGTATGCCACAGCCTCTTCCTATGTAGTGTGCGTGTGTGTGTGTGTGTGTGTATATATATATATATATATATATATATATATATATATATAGTAGAAAAGCAACAAAATATTCAAAAGAACTGCATGTCTAACAAATTATGCACTGATTTGTATGTTCATGAGGGAAGTAAGTATTTGATCTCCTTCACAAAACATGACTTAGTACTTGGTGGCAAATGCCTTGTTGGCAATCACAGAGGTCAGACATTTCCTGTAGTTGGCCACCAGGTTTGCACACATCTCAGGAGGGATTTTGGCACACTCCTCTTGGCAGATCCTCTCCAAGTCATTAAGGTTTGGTGGCTGACGTTTGGCAACTCGAACTGTCAGCTCCCTCCACAGATTTTCAATTGGATTAAGGTCTGGAGATTAGCTAGGCCACTCCAGGGCCTTAATGTGCTTCTTCTTGAGCCACTCCTTTGTTGCCTTGGCCGTGTGTTTTGGGTCATTATCATGCTGGAACACCATCCATGACCCATTTCAATGACCTGGCTGAGGGAAGATGGTTCTCACCCAAGATCGTCCCTTTGATGCGGTGCAGTTGTCCTGTCCCCTTAGCAGAAAAACAACCCCAAAGCAGAATGTTTCCACCACCAGGTTTGACATTGGGATGGTGTTCTTGGGGTCATAGGCAGCATTCCTCCTCCTCCAAACACAGCGAGTTGAGTTGATGGCAAAGAGCTCGATTTTGGTCTCAGTTGACCACAACACTTTCAACCAGTCCTCCTCTGCATCATTCAGATGTTCAGTGGCAAACTTCAGACAGGCTTGGACATGTATTTTCTTGAGCAGAGGGACCTTGCGAACACTGCAGGATTTCAATCCTTGTCAGCGTAGTGTGTTACCAATTGTTTTCTTGGTGACTGTGGTCCCAGCTGCCTGGAGATCATTGAAAAGATCCTCATGTGTAGTTCTGGGATGATTCCTCACTGTTCTCATGATCACTGACACTCCACGATGTGAGATCTTGCATGGTGCACCAAACCTAGGGAGACTGACAGTTGTTTTGTTTTGTGTTTCTTCCATTTGCGAATGATTGCACCAACTGTTGTCACCTTCTCACCAAGCTGCTTGGTAAGTTTGGTAGCCCAGTCCAGCCTTGTGTAGGTCTACAATCTTGTCCCTGACATCCTTGGACAGCTCTTTGGTCTTTGCCATGGTGGAGAGTTTGGAATCTGATTGTTTGATTGCTCCTGTGGACAGGTGTCTTTTATACAGGTAACAAAATTAGATTAGCAGCACTCCCTTTAAGAGACTGCTTCTAATCTCAGCTTGTTACCTGTATGAAAGACACCTGGTTACCAGAAATCCTGCTGAATGATGGGGGATCAAATACTTATTTCTCTCATGAACAAGCAAATCAGTGCATATTTTGTTAGGCATGCATTTCTTTTGATTTTTTTTTGTTGCTATTCTGTCTCTGTGTTATAATACACCTACCATTCGGTTTTTAGACTGATCATTTCTTTGTGAGTGGGCAAACATTCAAAATCAGCAGGGGCTCAAATACTTATGTGTGTGTGTGTCTCAAATACTTATTTCCTTCAGTGTGTGTGTATATGTATACATACACCTACCTGTCACGTAAAGTATTTCTGAACATCTTACCTGCTTACTATTACAGCTTGTGGACAAGGCATTGGAAGGACAAGTGCTGAGCTTTGCCAAGCTTCTGCCAGCAGGGTTGCATATCTTTGAAAACTTGTGTGGTGAGTGTTTGACAAAATTACTGATTTGTTTCAATCTGTTATTGCTTGGAAAAAAAATATGGGTTTTTGAGAGAGCCTCAACAAAATGCAATATAAAACAAAATCTTATTTCATCCCCCTTGGAGTGGGGGGCAGGACTGAGCCAAGCTCTGTGTCCCATAGATACAGAGGTGACTTGGGACTGAGCACCCTGCAAGGGAGAGGAGCCAGAAGCTCCAGCGTAGGCCCCAGAGGAGAAGGATCAGGGCTGCTCTGTGCAAAACCATTGCACAGAGCAGGTAAGTATGATGTTTTTTTATTATTTTTAAAAAACAAAACAAAGACCCGAGTTTTTAGAACCACTTTAATGTTAGTGTGCAGCAGTTGCATTGGCATTATTCAGACTGTAGGTAGTTGGATATTTTATCCTGTAAAACATTCATGCAAAAATGTTTATCTGTTTTTATTACACTGTTTTCCTCAGATGCTGAACAGACTTTGTCAAGAGCAGGAATTAAAGATGGATGTGACATGTTTGTGTGGGATGGAAAGCAGGTATGATGCAAAGCCAAGACAATCGGTGGAAAAACAGCTTCCACTACTCCTATGCCTTTGTTAAGGAACACAAAGACTTGATGTTCTCTGGTGATTATGCCACCTTTTTGTCTTGTTAATATAGACATAACTAGGAAAAAACACACATCTTAATTTTAATTTAGGTAAATTGTGTGGGCAGAAGAAAAGGCTATGGTTGTCTGCATTTATCTTCTGAGTTGCTGGGGGAGCTTGCAACTAGGCAAAAAAATAAAGATAGAAACTGCTGCTTTTTAATTGACACCTTCACTATTAGTGAAGTCGTCCTTTTAAAAGGCACCCTCACACCCTCTAAGTTGAAGGCACCTATTCAAACGCTTACATTCAGCCCTACTTCTGAGATCTTCACCGTGTGGCCCTGCCCAGCACCATACTGCCATTAAACAAAAAGTCCAGACTGTGTTCAGCTCCTACTGTGCATGCACTCGCTTTCTTCATTTCTATAACTGGAGCCATATTCCTCTGGATGACTGTGGGTGGGCTGCAATGAGTACAGAGGAACCACAGGAATGGAACCAGTGGCTCACATGTGGAGAAGCTAAACGCGGCCAGGACTTTTTTCTGCAGAGACCTTGTGGTTGCTGAGTAGGATCACACAGTGAAGATCTCAAGAACAGGTCTTAATTATTTGTAGGACTGTAAAATTGCATGTACATTTATTCTGTGTGGAGGCAAAAACAAATGTTAACAGGCAATTTTTTCTCCAGGTCCAGAGTCAATCAGGAAAATACTACATTATGGCCACTAGATGGAGCTGACAATCATAGGAAATAAGTACTTATACTAAATGATCCTCAGCGCCATCTACTGGCCATAATTCAGAATTTCCCTGATTAACATTATTCTGTAAGAAGAATACCATTCAACTTTGAGAGTAAATAGTCTAATGACATTTTTTTCCCCCCATTTGCACAGAACAAATCTGCACACAGTTAACAGGACAAATAGCTGTAAATTATTCAAAAATTACACCCCAAAGTGTTTTTGAAGCAGGACATCTAACATGCAGTTGACATTGTTATCATCATTTAGCATTCCCTTACTTATTTAATAAAGCTGACTGTTTAGGAGAAAATCTGATTATCTGTATCTAAATTTCTTTATCATACATTACGGGATACAGAGCAGGCCATTCATGACTATGTGGGTTATATGCCACTTATAGGTGAATGGACATTGGCTGACCAATCAGAGAGGAAGTCCTCCCCTATATAACCCCTCCTACACAGGAAGTACTTCTGTTTTTTGCCAGTGTCTGTAAGGTGGATGGTCAATGAACATGTGCTGCATGTGCTCTGTGAGCATACTTGGAGGTCTGGAACGGTTCTGCTGGGAATCAAGGACTTCAATTGGATCCATTCGAAAAGCTGTTAGCTAAAATGGATGGTGAAGCGCTACCCCTCAATCAAACCCTGTGACAGTAATTACAATGTGCAAATAGTGCATATGCGCACATCAACAGTACTACAATGCACCTCCCCCACTTGCTATGTTCTGATTTTATATCCAAAATACAAGACTAATACATATAATAAATTCTTATATGGAAAGTGCAGCACTGCAGTGCACTTCCCCCAAACACCATGTCAAAACAATATTAACACAAAATCCACACCACAGGAAAGTGTCCTCCAGCTGCATGATGGTCCACACGGAGAAGGAATTAACCATCTAGGATCTGGAGGAAACAGCATCATCCATATTTTGCATAATGTTATTTTTTTGTAGCCTGCAAAGCATTTCACCCGCAATCACTGGATCGCGGATGCAGTGCTGTAGTAGCTCCTGCAGACTCCATAGTAATGGACCCTTACCTTCAGAGTTGGAAGGAGTAGTAGCAGACTGCAAGTGCAGTGACTTCACCACAGTTCTTTTGCTTCCCTGTGGCAGGTAGAAATTGTAGTATTTTCATTCACAATGTCTGTTGAAGAATGATGAGGTTCATGGTACACTTTAAATATGGCTGTAACTTGAAACATAGCTAGAAATGTGGAGTTGCAGGTGGATCTCAAGCACGTACCCAACCCCAACGGCACAAGTCAAAGCAAATGGTCTTCTCTCAAAACCCCTACCTGTCTCCAATGGCACCGTAAGGGGTGTCCTATCTCGCCACTCCTCTTCGTCCTTTCACTAGAGCCATTTCTTTGCAGGATCAGACGAAACCCGGGCATGTCTGCTATACGACTTGGAGACTCCCACGACAAGGTTCCTGCATATGCAGATGATATGCTTTTTTTTACTTGCTAATATCTCTACCAACCCTTCTTAAAGAGCTTACATATAAAGTGAGTCTCATCAAAAAATAAAGGTTTCACCTGAACAAACGTACATGTGAGTGGGTACTTGTATTACCTTAATAATTTTATTAAAACGTTATTACACTATGGGAGCATCTGCCTTTTTTTTTCCTCCTGGCTGTATGAGAATTTGCTGTTTCTGGGATATTTCTGAGGAGGCTGCCTGCAGTGCCGTTGTCCATCGATGAGGGGGATTGATCCAGCGTTGGATACCTTCAAGAGGGGGTCCAGGTTTCCGATTGGTGCGTTATTGTTTGAACAAGCGCTCTGACCCTGTGGGGTCGCTTCACGGAGGTGAGGGGGCATTTCACCCAGTTTTGGATCTCCTATGTATAACCTTTCATATACATACATTCATTAAGGAGTATGGAACACCTCCGCCATTCAGGTGGTTTTTGGACTTTTTAGTTCGGGTGAAATGTTTATTTTTTGATGAGACTCACTTTATATGTTGGATGTTTTATTTCTATATTATTCTGGAATTTTTCTGACTTATTACTTTGTGTCACGGATTCATGGGTATGTCACTTATTTCACTATTTATCCCCGCATTTTGGGGTCACGAAAAAATATTTCACTCTCTTTTTTTGTCTTTATGTTTATAGGCTGTGTGGCTTATAAATTCTTCACCATATACAGTATTATATTAGTGTCACTTAGCCACTAATTTTCCACTTTATCCCAATTAGGGGTCACTGTTATATGGTTCACTTTTATCATAATCAGTTTTTATATCTGTTGAATTTTGGATAATTCTATCTTCAGCAACTGCGTTGCGTCAGATTAGCTTTGTGGTTTTCACCATTAACCATTTTCAACAGTTTTTTTTTTTTCTGTTAGGTCTATAGCTAATACCGGTTTGGCACGCAGTATACCTGTAGGTATATTTTCACATTACAGTTATATTTTAGTGCAAATTTAGCACTGTAGTGGTGGGATCCTAATTGTGTATTATCACCATTTATGTTGGCACTATCTATGGATATTAAGGATTGTCACCTCTTTATGGTGTACCTAGGTTACACCCTAGATTTTCACTGTTATTCATGATTTTGTATTTTTCATGTGCATTCTATTCTATTTATTTTGAAGTTTATATGTTCTTTTTGTGAAGTTTCCTGTTGTTTATGATTTTTTGGATTAAGAGATATAATATTATTATTATTAGTGCAGCAACAAATAATTTTATTTAACAATTTTTCATTGTGGTATGTGGTAGGGTGTTGGCGGCTGTATATAGAGATTGACATTCTGAACACGGGAGGACTATACAGACCAATTTTAAATGGACTACTTCAGCTCTAATAATATTTAGGCACATACATTCCCCCAAAATTGAACCAAACCTATATGCTTAACTTCCTGTCTTTTCATAGTAAAGTATGGACTTACTTATTGGCATCAAAATGTCCATCTGACCCAAATTTTCTTACCTTTCCCAAGCTTTGCCAATTCATATACCCTCAGAATTTTTCAAACAAACAAATGTTCTACTAGTCAACTTTATCTGGGCTCACAGGAGACCTAGACAACAACGGCACCTCCTGACTCTGCCTAAATACCACGGTGGTATTGCGGCACCTGACATACAGAAGTATTCCAAGGCATCCCACGTAGGGAGACTTATCGACTGGTGCAGACAAATTGAAATCAAACTGTGGCCACAGATTGAAGAATCCCAAAGTGATGTCGCTTTGTTCCGTGTTGCATGGTGCTTTAGAGACCTCCCTTCCAGTCTTAAAATGCATCCGAAGTTGGGACCCACCTTCAATATTTGCTCCCAGATATGTTCTACCACCTCACTGTCATCTCACTCTCCCCTTTACCCTATTGTGGGAAACCCTCGCTTTACTCCTGGATTACAGGGAGGGTTTTCTGCACTCTTCTGGACTTCCGATGTTTTCAAGCCTCGCACTTTATGGAATCCGCAAAGTAGCCATCGATTTTGGCACCTTCACTTCCCTTTCACTAGCATTCACTTCCCCAAATCGGCTGGACGTTTGGAGTACATTATAACTCTGACATTTCCGGAATTCTCTTCCACCTCCTGACAGTTTTTGACATCAGTTAACCACTTTTGAGAGATTCTGTGAGGGAAATGGCCCCCTGCCCCATTCACTCTTTCAGATGTACTCCCACACCAGCATTGCTTCATAAATATCTTCCCACAATTCTGGAAACTTGTTGGAGATGCCAGGAAGAAAGGGGGTCCTTATTGCACATCTTTGGGTCCTTCCCAAAATTGGAACACTTCTTGAAAGAGGTACACTGTATCTCAGAAGTTCACAGTTTGTCCTCCCTGATGACCCTGCTCTTTCTTCTACATGTCTCGGATATCCCTGAGAAAACGTACAACAAAATCGATCCTATGCCACCTGTTTAATGCTGCTAAATCGTACATTGCATTGCAGTGGAGAGATCCATGCCCTCCTTCTATCTCACTCTGGCTCTCAAAACTAGAGGAAGTGAACAAGATGGAAGACCTAGTCCTTTCAACACAAAACAAACATGTGGCGTACTCTGAAACTTGGGTACATTGGAACATGTTTAGTTTCTCCGAGGAGGGAGAGGCCCTCTTTGCATCCTGCACACACCGAGTTATGGTGCACTACCACTCCTTCATTGGAGCCTTCTATCCCTCCTTCAGCAATCCCCCATTTATTTCCCTATTATGCCCCCCCCTTCTCACCCAGTCCTTACCTCATGCCTACTCTTCTTCCAGACTCTCTGAGAAAAATGCTGTATTGTATCCGTTGCATTCATAGCTGCAGCCCATTCCAATTTGGGGAAGGCCCCCGCATCCTGTTTTAAGCACTGCTGGTTTAGTTACTGCTGGGTGTTCCAGTGAGGTCACCCCTACACTTTAAGTTATCTATAACTGATGCTGTATTTCTTGATGGTTTGGAGCCCTTGAAGGGATCACCTCAGATATGTATGCTCCAATGTATTTTGCTGCTCTGTGAGTGCTGTATACTTTGTTTCCATTCAAAAGTTTATTTCAGAGATGCAAGGTTTCACAATAACTGAAGTTAAAGAGCATATAGTCAGCCAAAACATACGGCATTCACATCAGAAATCATAAGAGGGCAATAAAATCCAATGTTGGGTTAATCTATGTCAGTAAAGTATAGAGAGGTATATCCATCAATCTTCAGGTATTAGGGGTAGAGGGAGGAATCCTAAGGGCAAAGCCCACGGGCAGGTGAGTGCCGTATACTTTAAGTATAGAATTTGCAAAATAAGAAATGTGGAGTTATTTTTTAAGTACCTCTTGCACACACCATAGCCAAGCAGGTGACATACTTATTTCCTATTTTAGCAATTCTGATTCTTAGTTTTAAGGTTTTATGGCTTCCTGCATCACCTCTGCAGGACCTCTGCTTGTCTTAATTGGAAAATGAGTTAATGTCTCTGTTCAAAAAATTTGTATTACCTCTTTTTAATAAGTCTGGATCATAACCTCTGTCATATGGACAGGAAGACCCTTGTAGCTTCCAGTTTTACCAAGTTGCATATAATCATTTCATGTTTCCTTTTCTGCCCCACTTTTATGTAATCTTTCTGTGTAGTACTGAAATGCATCAGATTAATATTCTGTAGCATTCCTCATCTAGTGGTTGTTGTGGGTCACTTCAGATTGTTTTTATTATGTGAAATTGGTATCTTCCTCTTGGCAGGCTGCAGAATAATGTATTATGAGATGCATGTAACAATAAAACAATAATTATTAGTGTTTTTTCAAAGATGAAAATATATATAGTTTTAAAAATGTGAAAACCTTTAAGAAAATGTAGGTGAAATTTATTATTGCACATTATTAGAACAGCAAAATGTGATGACCCCAAGGAAAGTCAAAACACAGAAACCCACTTACAAAACTTTAAACTCTCCTATCATCTATTCAATAAATGCATACACTGGCGCAGTCTGTCTATCCTAATCTGCCAAAATGCTGACTGAAAAGAAATTTAAAACAATAGTATTCAAAATAAATAAGTTGGATGTTTTGTGGTGCTTTATTAAACAAACAAATAAATGGTATTCTCTAGCTTTTCCCTGCATAAAGCTATAAGGCGATATTTACAAGTGTGTCTGATCCTGCATTCTGGGTCAATTTATTATTGTAACAGTATAAAGTATGTTTTGCCCAATCTTAATGTTTTTCATGCATGTTACTATTTTTGTGTAACTGTTGTGCAGGTCGGTGGTCTGCCAGTACACAGTGGTCCAGACTGTACTCCAGTTCTTTTAACCATCATGCGTCCATGTAAAGACCAGAACAATGGCTCCTCGCCAAAGTACTCAGAGAGCCAGAGAGTCTTCCCATCAAATTTACATTTGAGAGATGTGCAGGAAAAGTTGGCTGGTAGTCCCTCACTGGAGTCACTGTTGTGCTCTCCATCCACAGAAAATAGTGAAGGCTGGAGTGTTTTTGCTTTGGAGGATTTGGACAAAACCCTTCACATGTTGGGGCTTAAGGACGGAAGTTCTCTGCTGCTGTTAGATTCCCATGATGAAGGGTAAGCATTTAGCTGTCTGTACATAGGACATAAGTGATCTTTCTACTCCCAGTATAGGCATACAGTGGCTTACATAATTTAGCTTTTGCTCTTTGATGACTCTTCCTCAGAATAGTACATTTTGTATTCTCATCCTTAAATTTCCAACCCAACTTTTTTTTCTTTTATATTCAAGTTTGCTTTCTTCTTCAAAGTCGATCCACTGTAAAAATTCTGGTCTGATAGAGTAACGTTGGGGTTGTCTATATCTCAGTTAAAATCCCTGTGACATATCTATCTTTTCTGATGCTACTGTGATTTGTTATTTTGTAGTTTCTTCATATCATTGGCAGTCCTGCATCCTAAAGCTTTCTCTTGTAAACCATATCAGATAGAGAAAATTGCAATGACCTTACATTTGCCTTTCAGAGAAATGGTTCTTGCCACAGAAAACAAGTCGGCTGAAGATCTGAACCTTTACTGCATTCACATCCAGGATTGGTGTACATCTGCAGAAGAGAAGAAAATGGTTCAAATATCTGTAGATCCTAACTCTGTAAGGAACTAATGATACCATGTACTTAGTAAAACATATCTGCTTTTCTCCAGAATGGATCATCTTCCAGTATACTAACAAATTTAGCCTTTGCTGGAGATTAGAAGATCATTAGGTGATTGTGCTACTTTAACAAAGTCAACTGGGAAGGTAAATAGCTGCAGGGAGAGGAATGAAAACTTAGGCTGCATTCACACTATAGTGTTCTGTGAATGAGTGCAAAAACCACATGTTGCGCTTGCAGTGACATTCATTCTTAATATCACCCCAAATGTGGCAAAAAATGTGCAGAGCGCACAGAAGTGCATGAGCTATTTTGTCACTCATAGGGCAGTCCATTGCAATGAATGGGCTGCACTATGCGTGTGGTGCGACAACTTGTAAAAACGTGCATATTTGTGCATTTACAAGACTCTATAATGTGAATGCAGTTTAAAGTTGAAAAGTAAAAGTCTTGACTTGGAGTTGGCCCAGCTGGGGATTGCTCAGATCATATTTTATTTTTATTTGTGTTTATTGTATCTGAGATATGTTAGCACCAGTAAGAACCAAGGATAGAAAATAATATAAAAGTAAGCTTGAAGTAAAACCTCAGTCAAAATGCTATTAATTTTCTGATTGAGTAGGGAAGGGTTAGGACCACTGTTAGGTATTTATTGCTATCTTTGAACCCATTTGGAAGAATCACGCAGAAGAAATCTCACCAGTGGTGAGACAGCAATGAAAACATGGAAGTTTTACCCTTCCCCACTCCATCTAAAACTTTAACTGTTGTCACTGGAATTCTTCCCTGAATCTGTTTGTGATCTTATCGCTAAGTAGGAGTGGAGTACAAACCCGATACCAGTGAATAATTATTTTTTGTTTAATCATACAGAGTGCATTACATGCAGATAAAATTGTGCATTAGGAAATGGTAGGCATCCAAAGTAAATAAAAAGTATGCCATGAATTTGTGTGACAAGGTATTACTTTAATTTTTTTAGCACTGTATAAATTGTAAGAGACATGCAGCTCGGCAGCATTAGAGGCTGGCATAATTGATAAAGACAGGCAAAACATTGAGAGTGGCTACTAATATGCTGGTGGGAATTTTCTGCCATTTCAACTAGCTTGACTGTAAAAAAAGGTCAAATAGACAAATGTAAACTGCCAACAGCAGTTTCTGTTGACACCTAAACGGATGTAAAGTGTTGATAGCAGCTTGCCTTGATCTCTTGCTGTTTTTTCAGGCAGTTGGTAGACATATCTGTGGCACTTTCTACTACTTTCAATTGTAAAAACCTATTATTGGCTCAAGTCAGCCTTGCACCAACAATTTTGATTTTTTTTTTCATGTTTTTTACTGAGTCTGCTAGTGGTAGTTTACCTTGATTTGCTCAGTTGTTTTTAATCTTGAAAGTAGGATACAATTACCACTAAAAGTACTTGTGTGTGGCTCACATAAATGTTGGGAAACAATTAGAATGGTTGGGTCTTTTTAAATGTTTTTTTTCTTTTACTATTTTATGTTTTCAGGCTGTGTCAAGTTTCCACCAGAAAGCTGTTGAATTGTTGGAATTGCATGAGCATGTTGGTAAGACTTTTTCTAGCACTGTTGTGGCAAATTCTGAAAGAACAGTTCCAGGAAAGTGCATAAATCACAGTGGCAGCACAGTTCTTTAATCTAAAAGATGCAAGTTTATGCAGAATGTTCAATGCGCTTACGCACTGTTGCCATCCCTTCATCTCCATTACAGCCTGAGTATATGGTAGTAAATGTAAGCACAAGGATTCTTCTGACTTAAAGCATTAACAGCATGGGGTGGGAAGATGCATTAGTGATTAATTATTTCCAGGTCTGTTTTTGTGTTCAGCTGCCACATATCAGCTGAAAGTGGATATTGGGCTTGCAGGTGAAATGACTGTGTTCTTAGTTAATATAATCAATGTAAGAATGGTCAAGGCATGAAGGGCAAGAAGTCTGGAGTGTTTCAGGCAATAATAGTGTGTTCATTATCCTTGAGCTGACCATACACTGAGTGAAATTTTGTCCAGCTCTTCAGGGACCAGCTAAATTTCAATCTGTGTGTGGCTCTCCCTGTTTGACAGAAGTCAGTCATTTCATAGACTTCCGTCGAGTGGACAAGTTGAAAAGCCCTTCTCAATCAGCAGCTGCGGCTGCTGATCAGTGTATTCTGACAGCAGCGGGAGCCGCTGTCAGAAAAAAGTGTCCTAGCTGGGGGGGATTCCTCCATCCACCTGCTTTTATGTGGATGGAGGAATCTTAGTTTGTTTTTTGTTCAGCTTGTTCAGTGTATGGCCATCTTTATGTTCTGCAGAGGTGGATGGATTAGAAGATAGATACATATTTTCCATACTTAAAGTGTTACTAAACCCAGGGCCCTGCATTCGCTATATCTGGTCTCCCACAGTACACAGAACAGGGAAGTGCAATTATTTTAGCAAATATAAACTGCTAAATACCTTTTCTCATCAGCAGTTAGAGCAGTTTTTTGACTTTTATCAGTGTTCAGTAGAGCACTGGTTAAAGCTTGTAGGAGGATTTTTTTCTGCTCTAGGAGGACACAGGACCCCTGACCTCTGTTTGACCAGTGTGGATTGGCCCTGTGGTAATCGCATGCACTCTCCCAAGAAAAAAAAAACCTCTCTAGCAATACACACTGAGCATTTGCAAAATGCCTAAGGTTCAGTCTGTCTTATCAGGAGATAAGAGGTGGTCGCTTAAACAAGGGGAGGAACAAAGCAATCAGGATCAAATGGCCTTTTTACACAATGCAGAGAATTAACTCCTTAGGTACTGCATACACAGACTGATTTTACTGTTGTGGGTTTAGTAACCCTTTAATACAAACAAAATAACTACAGGTACATGTGTATTTCAAGTATGTATTAACTGTTTGACTTGAGTCCAATAAAAACTCCTGTTTGTAATTTATTTTAGACTGTGTGCAGGGAAATTAGTCTTACATCTTTCTTCTGTTTATATATTGTTAGACGATACCTGTCTAAGACCCATCCACAGAAGTGGGAGGTTGCTTCCACCAGGTAAGACATCAAGAAACTTGGTACATTGAAATAGATAAAATCATTTACTGTAGCAGTGTAGCCATTATGATTCTGCTTCTTTGCTGTTAAGAGCTATATCTGGGATATACTGTACATGTGTATGTATATATCTGGGATGTATATGCATATATTCAGTCAGAATGGCACTGTTACAAAAATACTTTCTTTCCTTATAATATGTTCAGTTCCATCCAACCACATTAGGCTATTTTAGAAAATCTGTGTTTTTTTGTTTTTTTTGTTTTGTTTTGTTTTTTATATAGGGATTGGTCCAGATCGCACAATAGTGGATGATATCTGCTAAAATAAATTCTGTTGTCTCTTTGTAGTATTATGAAATCCTAGCAAGCAGCTCAACTATCAGTAAAAAAAAATGTAACGATTATAGGGTTTTTTAAACACCAGACTGCACAGCTATAGAAAACCGGGTTCAGAAAAAGAAGCTGCTAAAAAAAAACGGGGTTGAAAAAACATGGTTCAGAATAATCGCAAATCACAAATAAATACAATTACATGTAAAAAAGAAACACAACATGGTTTTAAAAAAAAAAAGTTAATAATAAATCAGTTTTTAAAAAATAAAAAGCAGTTAAAAAAAACACAGTAAGAAAAATCTGCTGTTTTGAAAAAAAAAATGAAAATTTGAGATTTAAAAAAAAAAAATCTGGGTTAAAAAAAGTGATTAAAAAAAAAAACAAGGTTCATAAAAAGCAGTTTAAAAATCATGGTTCGGAAAAAAACACAGTAAAAAAAAATAAAAAATACCACTTAAAAAAACTCAGATTAAAAAATGCAGTTTGGAAAAAAACTCAGCTTAAAAAATGTGCTTCAAAAAAACACGCAGAAAAAAATGTAGATTTGAAAATGCCTAGCAATAAAAAAATTAATAAAACAAAAAAAGGTGGGAAAAAACAGACTGAAAACATGGTGGAAAAGAAGCGTTGGAAAAAACAAGAAGATAACAAAAGGGAAGAAAAAAAGTGACTGAAATAATAGGTTAAAGACCGGGAAAAATGGGTGAAAGACAGACAGAAAAAAAATTGTTTCCAACTGTTCACACTGTAACGCCCGATTTCAGGCATTGCATATGTTATTTTTTTTTTTTTTGGGAGGGGTTGTGCATTGTCACGCTTCACGCATGAAACACCCCATCTATTTCAAGCCTAAATGCCAACCTTTAGCAATGCAAACAAATGGGTAAGCAATCAGTGTACAGGGCAGAGTTTATTGCAGAGGTACTATGCATAGGGCTGGATTTCCCATTAGGCAGCGTAGGCATGTGCCTACAGGCGCTCTTCCAAAAGGGACTCCTCTCTCTCCCTCTCCTTTTCCCTCTCCCTCTCCTAGCACAGCCAGATATTGGTGTGCAAACCGGCAGGAGTGGAGCCGCAAAGAGTACAGCTGTCAACCCCATCTGTGATGTTGGGGATGGGCGGGGCCATTATGCATTTCAGGGGCTCTGCCCCCTTTGTCAGCCATCCAGTGCATAGACAAATAGCTGGCATTTATAAATTACTGGATGGGGAAGGTGGCAAGAGGCAAGACCAATTAGAACTACTGCATGTACACCCATAGCAGTGTATAATAATCCTGAGTTATACACCACAGCGGATGTACATTCAGTAGATCCCCAATTGGTCCTGCCCCATGCCCCCTTTTTTTCCGTCTGGCACTGTATAAATAACGGCTGTTTCTCTATAAACAAGTTGTCTGACAAAGAGGGAAGAGCCCCTGAAATGCATATATATTGTTCTTTGCGACCAGACCCTGACCAGATTGGAAATCACGCTACTCCCGCTACTAACTAAAATGGCATAAGCACACCTTCTCTTAGGTGCTCCGAGCATTCATTT